ACCTTCTGCCCTCTGCTCTTCTGGGGCTCATTATTTAGAGAACATTCATGATGCCCGTCACGTGCATCTGGGTAGTTGGCACATGTCCTTCTTGTGCTGTCTTTGCCTTCTCGCAGACGTTCAGAGTAGGCCTCACTCTTCATTAGGGTGCCTAGGACTTCCAGGAACCAGAGGGACAAGCAAGAGGGAGGCCACGTTCATCCCTTTGTCCCTTGTTCTTGCAGTCACAGTTCTACTGCAGAGCCACCTGATTCAGGTCCCCAGACGAGGGCTGAAGAGACCGGTCGACACCCCTGGACACATAAACCTGTAAGAGGGAGGGCCGTGTAGGGGTTTGCAAGCACAAATATGGGTGTAACAGGGGCTGGCAATAAGCAGCCCTCTAAATTCATTACTGGGCTGTGGGCAATTCCGGTTTTCATGGAGGAGACTGAAATATAGCTAAGCTGATGTTTGGGAGGAGAGGATCAGCACATCAAAGCATGGAGCAATCCCTAGGCGCACCCCCTCACTGAAGACAAGAGTCCCAGTGACTCAGCGTCCTGCAGCAGCCCCGAGGTGGAGCCCTGGCCCCCCTATACATCACCAGCTCTCGCTCCTCTGGAAACCATGGCTATAGGGAAAGAATGTGTCCTTCGGAGTCAAGCAGCTCTGGATTTATAAATAGCGTTGCCACCAATTACCTGTGTGATCTTAGAAAAGTTACTTGGCATCTCTGCGTCGTAGATTTCCCATAGGCAAGGACAGATAACAAGGCCTACCCGGCGGTAGGCCCAGGAGAAGGAGTCAACATAAAATAATACAGATGGAAGCAAATAGCATGATGTCTAGCAGGAAGTAGGCCCCCCCTCCTGTATACTTAGAGCTTCAGGGTTCTTGCAATCCATGGAAACACATTTATTTTATATCCTTATACAGTATTTATAACTTAAAAGTTTCATGAAAAACTATTTTGCCTTGCCACACGTGACATACTCTGATTTTCTTTTGTTTCATTTTAATGCCAGTCGGGACCCACTAAATGGATTTTATAACCCGCTGCAACCATTATACCCATCATTGGAACCAGCCTGTTTGATACCATGTGTAGGTCTCATTTATCCCCATTGTATGTACGTTCTTCCTTTCCTTCCAGTCCTTCCTTCCTGCCCTTGCTGTCTGTAACTGGCACGGGGGCCAGAACTAGCTGGGGACAGCATGGCAGGGCCCCAGGCTTGGTGCAGAGGGGAAGAGCCCTGCTGAACAGGTGCCGCTCCCGGCCCTCTGTGGTGCCTCAGTGGGACTGAGAGGACCCATAACGCCCTCCGCCTGCCAGAGTTCTGCCTCCCGCCGGCCTGCTGGAGAACTTCGCTACTCTCCCAGCCCAGCATAGCCCACCTGAAGTTTCTGCCGAGGCCACTGCAGCCCAGCAGGGAGGGTAGGCCTCAGGCATCCTCTCCCATTGAATAATTTCTTCTTTTGGAATCGCTGCTCTTCCATCTTTAAGCCCCAAGAGCCAGATGTCTGGGGATAGTATTTCAGCTGCCAGGTGGGGGAGATGAGAATGGAAAGAAGAGGGCCCATGGCCATCCTTGCTGCCCCTCCCCCTGTATGCAAGGGGGATCTTTCTGTGAACACCCAGCTGTGGGGGTGAATACCCAGGGAGCAGGCAGGGGCCCAAGCTGCCAGGGAAGACATGAACTGCAGCCTCCAGATGCTGAGAGTCTAAGTGGGAGAAGCCAAATTTAGGCAGATACTACTTTAAAGTCCCAGGGAGATTCTCTAGGGAGGACAGGGTTGTTTTACGCCCCAAAGAGTTGATTTCCTAAGCGTTTTCCCAGTCCTTTGGGGGTCTGGCCCTCTTCTGCGGAGGCTGATGCCTGGCTGAGCAGGAGCCTTGGGCAATGCCCACTGGAGTGTGACTTGGGGCCTGGGACCTGCACTCGGCACGGCCAGCTCAGCTGGGACCCTAAGCACTTCCTCTTTGAGGTCTATCCTTTGGTTTTTCCCGTTTCGCTGACTAAGAGGGGAGGGTATTCTGTGACCTTGGCAGTGACTCACGGCCATCAGACAGGCGATCAGCTTCTCCCCAGCGCAGGTGAGCGCAGGAGTAGCCCTTGCCCTGGCCGGGCCCGTGGAGGGATCTTGGCCCCTCCACCGGCATCCGCTCAGCCATCTGCAGGAGCCAGGGCTCGGCCCCTGTTCGTGCAGCCCGGGGCAGAGCAAGCAGAAGACTGGCGGTGCCCACTGCCGAGGCATCTGCCAGCTGAGGCGCGGTGGGCAGGTGCAGATCGGGAGACAAGACGAGCCCAGAGCTGTGGCTCTGCTCTGGGGTCCCAGGCAGCGCCACACTCCTTAGCACCTCACACCCACTGTCTGCCTTCCGCCTAGCCAGGTATACCCCATCATCTCAGCCCACCCCCCCACCAGGGGGCCCAGCCTTTCTCAGTAGCCACATGGGCACCCTCTCCTCCCAGCCTCTCATCAAGTAGGTTCAGGACGGAGATAGCATCAGGCTGAGAGGAATGAGATAGGGAGGACTGGCCCAGACTCTGCCCCTAGCTCCAGGGCCTCTGGTCAGCCTTGGGGCCGGCCTGCCTGCCTGCCTTCCTTTTTCCTTCCTTCCTGCACCAAGTTGGCATTCGTTTACCATGAGGCCCAAAGGAAGGTGAGCCCCACTGGGCACTAAGGATGAACCATCCCCAAATTCTGCCCTTGATTTGCAGAGACGATCTATGCTAACAGCTGTAATTATCTATCGTATGCTGTGTTAGAAAAACCACTAACTTCTCTGGCCCTCAGTTTTCCCTTGCCTGTAATGACTGAACTATATGACCTCTGAGATTTCCTTTTGTTCCAAAATTTTATAATTCTAAAGTACATCTTTGAGCCAAATGTCTACATCCGTTTGAGAAATATCTATCGAGTCGCTGTGTGTTGAGCCCTAGACGCAAAGCTGGGACGCAAAGATGGATGAGTGTGACCATGGGTCTGCCGTCAGGGAGTGTGTGGTGGCTGTGATTGGGATATGACAGAGATGGAGCCCGGTGGAAGGCGGGGGCCCTGCAGCTGGGGGAGGCTCAGGAGCCCGTAAGGACTCCCCGTCCCTCCCTGTCACTTGGCCAGCTGACCTCTCCTGTTCTCCCCTGCCTTCTCATTACACTGCCCCCGGGGATGCCAAGGGGGCAGAGACACCTGCAGCCCCTGGGAGCAAGGCCTCGCCCCTGCAGTTGCAGAAGCTGGCTGCAAGCTGCCGTAGCCCAAAGGAACTGGCCAGGCTCCAGAGGGCCTCCTTGGAGAGCCCAGGAGAGAGAACCACTAGGTAATTTTGATCATTTTAGTAAGCATTTCAAAATACCCTATGATTTAGAAGGAGCCAGATTTCATCCCAATACTTTGATGTCTAGAAATGGTTCCCGGTTGGTTGCTTGTTGAAGTCCTTCTAAAACAGCATTTGATTTAATTCAACACATACTAGGACGACGGTCCCAGCCATTGGCGGTCTTACAGGCAAGGAGCCCGAGCTGTACAAGACAGTGTCTAGACACCAATCTAAACATTCCAGACTCAAGGCAGACCGTGGCTGGGCCTGAGGTCGGAGGCCTGGTGTGCCCCGGAATCCAGCAGAGGGGCGATTGATTCCAGCTGAGGGTGAGGGCCGCTGCTTGAGGCTGTGAGCATGTGAGGCAACGTGCCCGGTCAGCTATCGGGCTTTTGCATCTCAGGCGTGCTGATTTTCTTGTTTGGCAAGTTAGGACCCCCTAAAAATGAACCAGGCATGCTCAGGGGTTGGCACATTTAGGGCAGACTACGGGAACCAGTTACAGCCACTTATTTGTTCCTGAAGCCCACACCAGGAGCCAGGCTGACGTCGCCTGGGGCCCAGCCACAAAATTAACCTCCATTGTGCCAGTCACTTGCACACCAAGGCACCCAGAGTGGGATGGGCAGTCTTCACAGGGGCCTTTGCAGGGTTTGGGGTGAAGGGCATTGGAGTAGAACCAGGTCTCTTGGTAGAGAAGAGGGGTGACTAAAATAGGGATGACCCCTGTGACATGAGTAACCCCAAATGAGTCTGTATTGACAGCGGCCGCCCGGGACAACGAGGACAAGGCAAGACCCAGAGAAATGATTAGCAGGACTTGTCTCACACTATTTACAGGACGGCTTTGATTTTCAGACCACAGTCGGTTTTCTTATGACTGATTAAAAGCATGTGCCAATGGAAGGCACAGCTGCAGAAGAAAAGGGGAAAAAGAAATGAGCCTTAGATGTTTTGGAACTTGCCTCTATTTGCAAAAATGAATTCTGACTTGATTTATATTTCCTTGATTTACTGACAATGAGGGTCGTGGCCCTGAACTGCTTCTCCCGCCCCACCCCCACTCCACCACCGCTTTGGCCTGACCCCGGCAAACAGCACAGAGCCCATCTCATGATTGCCCAGAGAAAAGGATGTTTGAATTCCAGAAAGACTACTGCGTTCTGTTTCAGAAGAAGTTGATTGTTTAGGCTTTTGTAAAATAAAAAGTCCCAAGTGAGAGAGGCTAAAGGCAGCTAGGCCACAGGGGCTCCCTCCTCTGTGGCCGTGGGGGGAAGACGCACTGCAGGGGCACTGAGATCAGGGTACCACTGGGCGGGTGCCTTCCCTGAATTCACAAAGCTTCTGCTTTCTTGCCTGCGAATGGAGAGCCTGGCTTCCTGCCACACCCGACGTGCTGGGAGTGCCAGCCATGCTTAACCAGCTTCGCGTCGCTCCTTCCCTTTCTCCAGAGTCCCCAGCCTCTTTGGGCTTTATTTTCTGTTTTTGCTTTTATTTTCTTAAAGTTGTACCCATTCAGATGTTCAGATGTTGATCTCGTGGATTTCTCTTCTTCTGTAAAGATCCATTGAATAAATCCGGAACTACAGTTCCAGGGGGGAAAGCCCCTGTGGATGAGCCTTTTTGGGCAAAGTTCCTAACTGCCTCCCCCTGAAGTCCTCTGAGGATTTCCCTGATGGTCCCTGTCTTAACTCTTCAGGGTCTCCAAGCCCCTTCTGCAGAACACACTGATTGTTAACAACGTGTGATCGCGCCTCCCCGCGGTGGCAGGACAGAGGGACGGCTGAGGAGCCAACCTTCCGTCCCTGTCGTGAGCGGCCCGAGGTGCCACTAAACATCTTCTCAGAGCCCTGCAGGGTTCGTCGCTGACCCCGTCTTGCTGCTGAAAGAGCATCGAGGATGGTCAGAGCCGCCACCACCGCCTTCCCACGCTGCCGCCGCCTGGGCTTGCCCTCACTTAATACAGGAAGAGCCGAGACACAGAGAAGTTAAGTGGCTTGCTCAAGGTCACATGGATATCTTGGAAGCATAAGAGATTGTCGGTATAAATCTTCCTGTTACAGGTGAGGAAACTGAGTCCCAGTTCCAGAGGCCACAACAAGCCAAAGCCTGGACTAGAGCCCATGTCTTCTGTTCATGCTTCAGGACTCTTTCCACTTGACCCACTGACTCCCCCTTACGGTACATACTGCCCTGAACAGAAGATCTCTTGGGGGACCCAGCCCACTTTGATACCCCCACCCTGGGCACCCGGAGCCCCGGGATTCTTACACGTCCCTCTAGTTCCCAGCCGCCGCCCCCTCCCCGACCAAGCCTTTGACTGGAGCCTGGCCCAGGGGCACGGCTTGGGCAGAAGACAGCAGAGGCTGCAGGTGCCCTTCAGCACACGGTGCAGCCCTCGATGACCCAGCCGTGCGACTAGCAGCTCTGGCCCGGATTTCAGGAGACGCACGGCCTCCTGACAAGTTACCCAAGAAGCCACGGCGGAAAGGATGAGCTGAGGGCGGGACCCAAGGCCCGCTTCTTCCACACAGGGGCTCCCTCTTCTGCAGCCACACATGCTGTAGCTGTTCCCACAGACTCACAGCCTCTGCCCTCGGACCCAGCTTGGTCTCCATGGGAACAGTTGACCTCTATTGATCATCTCTTAAGCCAGGCACCAGGCCAAGGCTGACTTGGACCATCTCATTTAATCCTCGTGAGGATTACCCTTTGAGGCAATTTAAGGTTATTTTTCCCCTTTGATAGTTGAAGAAATTAAAGCTAAAGGGGTGAGTCACTTGCCCAAGTGATACAACCAATAAGGAGCAGGGCCGGGCCCGGAGCCCAGGTGTGGCAGGCTCCGGCGAGCACACCACACTCACCACCTTGTCCTTCACGGCCCACAGCCGACAGGGCCTGCAAGGTCACCAGGCTCAGCTCCCTGCTTGGTACATGAGGAATCTGATGCCTGGAGAGAGGAGAGATTTCCTGCTGAGCACCCCGTTCCCTGACTCCTGGTCGGAGGGGTCTGTCTACCTCGCTCCCTGCCGTGCCTGGGAGCCAACGCCTGGCCGAGAGCCACTCCGGCTCTGAATTCGTGGAAAACCTACCCAGCTTCGCTTTCGGCCTGGGGTCAGTTCTTGAAGTTTCATTCTTCTCACCTGAGACTCTGGGATTGGCCTGAGCTCTGATTTTATAACACCCAGAGCAGAGGGACTACAACCAGTGAAGACGGTCAGAACCTTATTTTGTCCTGAGGCATATTTAGCTCGAATTTGGTCTAAAAATAAATTCCCTTCCAGCGTGAGTAGATAGAATGATGAGTTTGACTGACTCAGGGCCTCTCTCCCCTTGGCTCGTCTTGGCCGTGGGCGGGAGGTGAGGAGACCGGCCCTCCCCGACCTGCCGCCCACCACACTTTAAAGCTCGCCATACGTTCTGTCTTTGGGTCAAAGTTTTTTAAAAGGTGACCGATAACTAGTGCCTTTGGCAAGCTATACCCTGGGCAGGTCTCCGTTTTCTCTGATAAAGAGTGAAATAAATGACAACAGTACATAAAGAAAAAATTAAAAAATCTGTAAATGGGTGGGAGCCCAGTGTCATTTTCCCCTTCGCCCTCCTCCCTCTCCCTGAAGTGACTTCGTGAGGAGCCCAGGGGAGAGCACTCCCGGACAACAGCTGGGAGCCTCATGCCTCTCAGCAGCCCTTCTCCGCGCTGCTTCCCCTTGGCGGCACGCGGCTCGCCGTGGCAGGGAAAGCCCAGGGCAGAACGGGAAACTTCAGAACTTTCTGAAGAAGGAGAGCGCTTACTCTAAAGCAGGTTCCCTCTTGCCAAGACCTTGTGGTCTGAGGAGCTGGTACTGTTGCAGCCCCCACCCCAGAACTTTGTAAGGAAAAACCGAGCTGATCAGAGATTTGCTTCAGGAGCCGCGCAACCCTGGGCCTGAGCGCGGAGAGCGCGGAGGTGGGGCGGGTGCTCCCCGCCCTGGTGCGCACCTGCTCAGGTGCATGTTTCGGGCCAACTCGTACCTTGGGGGGGGACACCGCCCTGCCCAGGGGTGCCGGGGTCGGCCACACTGCACAGGATACTTAAAGCAGCAGAGCAAATGCAGTGGACGTTGGCAGCCGCCTGTCCGTCACTGACCCTCGAGGACGGGCCACCAGGCTCCCCTCCGGCGAACGCGTGCGTGTCACTGGGCGAACAGCCGCAGATGGAACATGGGGGAGGAATGAGTGGCCCACACTTGTGGGCGGTGGCATGCAGCTGGCAGGGTCCCTTCCCACACGGTCCCGTGCAGGCGTCCCGTCCGGGTGGGCTCATCACCCCTGCTCACGGGGGAAACACAGCTCGGGGCTTCCCTTGCCCGGCCAGCCTCGCTCCAGGGCTGTGGCGCTTCCAGCCTCGTCGAGGTCCCTCCGGGCCGTAAGGACCGGCAGAAAAGGGCTTTGAGCTCAGAGACGGCCACGGTTCGGCTGGCTCAGGACCACGTCAAACAGGATGTAGATGGGAGAGGGTGCTTTATCTTCCTTTCTCACTGTTGGCATAATTTGAAGTTTGAGACTAGACTGTTTCTTCTTTTTCAGTACCTAAATACCACATTTGTTCACTCTCTGAGGCCACTCTCTCTCACTTTAAGCAGCATGTCATGAACATGCCTTAACTCTTCTTGCAAACCGGCAGCCATCAGTAGGTACGTTAATGATAGCCACTTAGGTCTCGCTGAGTGCTGTCCGTGGGCTGGCCCGTGGGGTCCCTGCTTCCTAGGGCCCACCGTGCAGCCTGGCAAGTACCACATACATGCATGTGACAGACGCTCCGGGAGAAGCACAGAGATTGTCTGTAGGCAGGGAGAGAACCTCTTGGTCACCAGGGAAGACTTGATAGGAGCCAGAGCATTTGGCCTGAGCATGAGATGGAAAACGGCATGTGTGAAGAAGAGTGGGTGGCCAGATTGGAGTGGGGAGCTTGCATCCTGGACCATGCATGGGCATCGGGGGTTCTGTGACATCCCCTCATTGCTGTGGGGGGAACTTACCTGCAGTTTTTCTGGGAGAGGATCCTTAGCTCTCTTAGCTTTTCAAGGGAGGGGTGCATGAGCCTAAAAATGTAATGGAAGGGCAAAAACAATTTTTTTGACATGTTGGAACCAGACACTGAAAATCATTGAGTGCCAGGCTGCACGTCTCGGGAGCATGCAGGGTCTTGGTCGGGGTAGTGACAGAGGCCCACGCGTGAAGAAAATGTATTTAGTTGCAACAGACAGGCGAAGTCGGCCTGCGTCCAGAGGAGAACCAGCATTCTGCAGCAGTTCTGTTGAAGGGTAATAAGGCCAGGAGCCAGGGGGTGTCACAAAGGGTAGAGGGACATTGTGGGGGAAGAGAAAGAACCTTCAGGATGAATTCGCCACAGGGCTTTAGGGAGAGGTGGAAACAGGGTTCTGGTACAGAAACACAAACGGGCCGAAGCACATTCAAAGACAGTATTGAGGAGCCCTTCATTTGGACTACACTGGTTTAAACTACAGAGACATCCAGGTCACAGAGTCCCACAGGTGACTGGAATGTGGGACGGAAGTTCAGGGGAGAAATGAGGGCCAGAGGCCCAGATGGGGCGGTTCTGTGCTGAGGGGGCTGAGCCTGAGAACAGCGCCACGCATGAGGGGCATGGAGGGCAAGACAGGAGGGTTCCAGAGAGAGAGTTCATCGGGGGCACAGCAAGGAGAAGGGAGGTAGACCCAGGATGTGGAATGTCACCCGGGGAGGACGGCTCCCTGAGAGAGGAGTCAGCATGTAAATGTTGCCCAGAGCCCGTGGAGGCCAGGGCTGTGAAAGCCAGAAGAAGGGGTGACATGTGGAAGAGGTTTCGGTTGACTTGGTGTTGGGGCAGCGGGCAGGCAGTCAGGTACCATGTAACTGCACAGTGGGACCCCAGGGCCTATGGGGTACTCACCCCGGCACTGAAGGAGCCCTGTTTGGGGCCTTTGTGGTACTGGTGGTGACCGGGCCTCTTGGTGGCCCTTCCTGGTTCATGTCACAGTCCTGAGTGAGCCACTCTAGATAAGTGAGGTGTGACTACTCTGGCCTCGTGTGAGTCCAGTGCAGGGGAGAGAGAAGTAAGTGACAAGCCGGGGTGACCAGGGGCAAGGGGTGCCCACCCTGCCCCTCCACTTTCTACCTCACCTGCTGTCTTCCCGCAGAGCTTCGAGTTCCCAGCTCACGACAAGCCGCCCGCTGCCCCCAGTCCCCCCTGCCGTGTTTTTTTGCCTAGAACACCTATAATGTCTACTCCTCCTCCACCTTCCTTGGTCTCGCCAGCCCAGCACCTCGAGGTTCCTCCATACGTGTCCTTACCGCCTCGATTGGTGTTACTGATGTGTTTGCCTCCTCCTCTGAACTGGGATCTCCCGCCTGGCAGGGGCCCCATCCAGGTCCCCTGGCAGCCCCTGGCACCTCATACCATGCCTGGCAGAGCAGGCCCGTGTAGAATGTGGAGCCCATCTCCACAGAATCAAATCTGGGTGCCAGAAAGGCCCGATGGTCTGCCCCAGATCACGTCACCCATCCGTGACTGGCCAAGGAAGCTTCTCTTGATACCCAGCCTGGCTTTCTATCCAGTAGCCCAAGCTACACGTATGTTTGGAAATAAATGGAGACCGTGGAACACTTAGAAATACTTTTTATTAGACCCTCTTTGTCTGTATGAAGTCGAGGATCCAACTGAGTGGAGAGTACAACTCTCTTTATATTTCAGGTCAAGAAACGACGAGGTGGCTGGCTTGGCCACTCTCTGGCTTGTCTTGGGGGTCAGGCCCTTGTCTTTGGCCTGGGAGAGGCAGAGGGAGCCCGAGTACTGACATCTAAGAGGACCTGGCAGCCTGGAAGGTCTACATACAGGCCCCTGAAAGATCCGTGCACAATAGCACAGAAGTGAACTGCTTGTACCTCCCTTGGAAAAATCCAGAGGGTTTTGCATCAGCAGGGAAGGGGAATCCAACCCAAGATGCATGAACAATAAATAACAACTGTTCTGAGTTAGGTTGAAAGCTCTGAGTTGCACTTTTTTTCAAGTTGTTTGTGCTAACCGCAATTTTTTTCTCCCCCTCTTTCCCACCAGGGCTTATTTCAAAACCTTTGTCCCTCAGTTCCAGGAGGCAGCGTTTGCCAATGGAAAGCTCTAGGAAACACCAGTCTTGAGAGGTGGCCAGCCAGACTGCTGTGTCCACATGCGGGTCAGCACATATGGCCGCTTCCTGGAAGCCGCTTGGAACGCCTTCATGGTAGCATTCTGCACACACAGCAGCTTTGCACGCCCCGCCTGGAGCCTAGACTGAAGCGGGCTGGCGCTAACCTGGATCCTCGAGCCCCCACGGCTGGTCGCTCCCTCTTTGTTTCCTTCGGTATACTTCTTAGTTGGAAGAAATAAAATCAAATTCTGACACAGTATTTTTCCAGGGAAAGTAAGACATCACAGATGCACACACCCTTATTCCAGGAAAGCCTTTGTCTCTGAGACCGGGTTTAAGTCTTAAGATGAAACCACGCTTTGCTTTTATTTTTCCCTGAAACTCGTGTCGTGTGTGTGTGTGTGTGTGTGTGTGTTTTACTCCCCAGCATTTCCCACTTGGGGCGGCTCTCCATTGGAAAAGGCGCTGCCTGAACAAACCTGACCATCCTGCATGGTTTCAGCCACCCAGCCTGCCGGCCCCCGGCCAGTGCTCAGGAGCACGTGGGATCCAGCACCCCCCGCAGCTCCCCGTGTGTGTGCCGTATGCACGGAGGCAGTCATTAAGTTTGCTGAATGGGCCAGTGAATCCGTCCTTCCCTCCCTCACGTCACTCAGCCCTCGCTAGGCTGGTGGGAGCGCTCTTTGGGCTTCTGCAGCCCTGAGCGCATCATACCTGGAAGACAGAGGTTGGGTCTTGTGGGCCGTCACTGGCGTATCTGTGACATCTGGGCTCAGGCCTCTCTGCCACCATCCAGGAACAGAGCAGGGGCAGATACCCTGAGGAAGTTCCGCTTGTCCTGTATTTACGGATTGTCAGAGCCAGACGGAGTCTGAGAACTCCCCTCATTTTCACCCCCGGCCCTCTCCCCTGCTGCTCCCTTACGTGTATAGAGAGAAGTAAGGCCCCAGAGCTACAGAAACCCTCCAGGCAAATTGGGAGCAGACCTGGAGGTGGTGGCCAGGCCTCTCCTTACCATCACACGACTTCCCTTAGCTTACAAGCTGAGGATAACCAAGCTGACCCCTTGACAAGACTTACGGTTTTGCTTAGCGCTGTTGCATCCTGATGGCTTTCCACGTAGGGAAGTGGGACGTGCGCGCAGAGGGGAGAGAAGCGATCAGCTGGCCTGCCTGGCCTGTGCGCTTCCCTAGCCCTCCTGCCTTCCCAGGCAGAGGTGAAGCCCCAGTGCACCTGTCGGGTTTACCAGGCCTCTCACCTTTCTCTTGGTTCCCCTTGTGGTTCGTGGCACCCGGTTTTACCGTGTGAGCCTGAAAGGGAGCCAGCTCAGGGCCCTTGGCGGGACCACGGAGGGCTCTCTCTCCTTCCTGTGTCCTCCAGCACCCAGGAATATTCCCGGGAGGCAGAAGAGCTTGGACAGACCACCCCTGCTGGCTACCAGCTGGACGACTGCCCAGCTCTGGGTTCTTACTCGGTGTGGGTACTTTGCCCCCTGCCCCGGAACCCTGGGAACTCTCATGACAGAGGAAAGTCCAGTGCCCTGGGTCCACACCCCAGCTGTGCCCTTAGCCAGCTGTGTGACCTAGAGGGAGCCCCTTCTCTGTGTCGTACAAGGACTCAGCTCCTCGGGAGCCCCCCGGGGAGCTGTC